AAAGTATTCAAAGAGTCCTTCCTTTGTTCTTTGCATTAGCGTATAAGGAATACGACAGACTAAACTAGACGTTGCTACTATTAAAAAGCCGAAAAATTATATGAGTTTCATATTGTATTCTTCGAAGTGCTGCACTATTAAATTTTTTCTCACACTAGAATTAGGTGATAAAAAAATACATTTAAATGCATCGATTTTTTTTGTCGAGTAAGGCAAGAAGTTCAATCGATCGCTCTAGTCCGATGGAAAATAAATCGATCAGTTTCAAGCCTCATTGATCCAGTTTTCTTTTTTCTTCTAGCAAATTGATTTGACAACAAAACGCAATAATTTTAATCAAATGCGAGGTATGAACACACATAAAATAAATGTTATACGTCGACAAATTGATTCAACACGTATATGTCAAACACAATTGAATACAATGAATATTAACAGTCAGATTTTTCCTAAATAGCAATAAAAACATTAAAAAAAAACAAAAACGATTCTTTTTATTTTTTCTTCTTCTTGGATCTGTTTTTTTATAGATATAATAAATTTGTACTTACTGTTGATTTATTCAATCTATTCTAAATGTATATAGAATATAATGGGTAGCCCATAATAAACAACCTATTTTATTTTCTATCATTAAAACATTTAGGAGTTATTATAAAATCTCATTTTGATTTCATTGAATAGAAAATTAGATTGTCTACAGAACTATCGAATTGGATCTTTCAAATAGATTCCTTGTATCAGAGTAAAGTTAACGAGATTATATACAAAATTATGCACTTATTATTACGACTTTTAAAGTTTTAGAAAAAATATCTCAGAGCGAAATTTTCAAAATGAAAGATGTCAAAACACCGAAAATCAGCGTTGTCAAACTGATTCGAGTCATTATTTTATAATCTAAATATTTTAACTATGTAAGGAAATACGCGTAGTACTATGTATACAATTAAATTTTTCATCCAATCATAAACGATCCAGTATTTTATTGTAGACGTTTGACTTGTAAAAAAAATCATTTGTCATAATGCATCCAAAAATATCATGAGATATATGTTGGAAATTTTTATTCATCTATACAAAAGCACAAAGAACCACGATGACCTCATAGGTATATAGAGGAAAAATTCTCTATCTTTTGGTGTACAATACTTAACTTTTGGCATTAATCTTGATGAGAACATATTCATACGACAAGTTTTTTTTTTTACTGAAAAAACCATAATTTACAGTTTGATAATTCAATAGGTGCTAATCTCTTACAATTTATACCACCATGAAAACTATTATTGAATGATAAAATCGATAGTTTTATAGATAATTAAAATCTCTATTTAGCGAGATGAGAACCAAAATTTAAAATAAGCTTCAAATCCGTCGAAAATAGAAAATAGAGTAGGTCATTAATCATGGGACATCCGTTATAATTGTATAAATCTTTAAAATTCGAATACGTCTACTAAGAACACTTTGAGTTAAATGCTAGAAAAAAGCACTATTAAACCTTATACACAAAAGTCAATATTTTCTCAAACTAAGATGGTCTGAGAGATCACAGAGTGGAAAAAAGAATCACTCTCATGTGATTGTATGACAGTATCAGAGAGTTCTCAAATTCATGAGTTGTTGAAAACCATTTTGTATTTTGAAAATTTCATCTGCTCGTAGACACAATTTGAATTTTTGTTATTTTGATTGACATCACTAAGTATAACGTCAAATTGTTGGATGAAATCGTTCTAATTTATACATATGGAATGTTTATTGACAAGTCAATTACTGTTAATGAATGGGCAATGGAATTAGATCCAATGTACTCAACCTTATCAACATCAAAAAGAAATAAAACGATACAGTACGCTATATATGATTGTTTTGCAGCAACATGTTTAATTCGACCTGTTACATTATATTGGACATTTCAACAGGTAAAAAAAAATTAATATTCTTGATTCATTTCAGGCATTACCATCATCAACACGAGCTAATAACAACCCAACAAATACAAATATTAATCAACAAATAATTAACAATATTAATGATGATATTGAATTAATCTCCGATGATGATAATACTGATGATGAAATAACAGTTAATCAATGTATTAAAATTACTAATAATAATGATATGTTATATGAAGAAATTTCAAATGATGATAATGAATTAACCCTTGCCGTACCGGCCTATTTTAAGTACTATATTGACAATA